AAGGAAGGACAGGGTCAGCACCAATTCAGAGATGATTTGAGGGTCTACAGCCGAGTGATAAATAAGATATATTGTTGTTAATAGTTCAGGTACTTGAATGTATTTTTAGGGCCGGTTCACACCAAATCCAGTGCGTTCCGGCATGCTTCATGCCCAGAACGCACAGGATCGCATAAGTCAAGGCTCCTGCATTCTGGGGCGGGAGGGGGCGTGGCGGTGCCATTCATGTCATTGGCACGCCTCTCGCCGGCGTGGTACAGCAATGCCCTGTGTTCCGATGCATGCACTGTTTTTTGCGAACCCACCGCACCTCGCCCCCCGCCCACAGTGCCATCGCCTGCACCAGAACGCGTGGTACAGCAATCCCTGTTTGCCGGTGCGATTGCAAAAAATTATTTTTTGCGAACGCATCAGAACACGGCGTTGCTGTACCACGCGTTCTGGTGCGGGCGATGGAAACTGTGGGCGAGAGGCGTGCCTGCGGTGTCATTGACAGGAATGGCACTGCAGACACACCTACCGCGCGCAGTTGACATGAATGGCACCACCACGCCCACTCCCGCCCCAGAACGCGGGAGGCTTGGCTTATGCGATCCAGTGCGTTCCGGGCACCAACCGTGCCGAAACGCACTGGATATGGTGTTAACTAGCCCTTAAGGTTTATCTCCTGAGTTTACTGTCACTTTAAGAGTGTGGAAGAAAGAAAAAAACATTATGCTAAAACCATAGTTAGGCCTCATTCACACACAACGCAAGCAAAATTGTATATTGCGTATATACGCGTCTATGCGTGCACTATATGCAATCCCAGAATGCATCCCTCGTAATGGAATTTTGAATGTGCTGTACGCGCGTAAACACGCGTATATACGCTGCCCGGACGCATCTCTGTTCCATTCTGTTTTTGCGCATATATACGCTATGCAAATATATGGCTCTATACGCGGCTGTGTGTATGGAGCCATTTATTTGCATAGGTTGCATATGGTACAATGCGTATATACGCGTGCATACGTGCGGCAGTGTGAATGAGGCCTTAGGTTAAAAAAAAAAAAGAAATTCCAAAACGTGACACGGCTTTAGTCCTGAAGGGTGTTAACCTGCTAAAAAAAAAAGGAACGCTTACAGCAGAACTTCAGCTGGTAAGCAAAAATTTGCAAACAGGAAGTTTTTTTGTTTTGTTTTTTGCACAGGAGACATTCTAGTGCCTACTGTCTCTTCCGCAATAAAGACTTCTTACCTTCCTGTTCTTTAGAATAACTAGTAGTTAGTGGGTCACATTTAATTGGACGTGTTATTTAATGGCGTGTTAACATGCACGGCAGCGCTCATTATAATGCACACATTAGAGTGCACCCTATGGTGTGAATGAGCCCTAAAAAGAACATTCATTTCAAACCAGTAAGATGGATACTTGCAGATACATTCACCGTGTATATATTTACACACTAAAAAAAAAAAAACAGAACCACTCCTAAACATACAATGTGATCAATCTTGTTTGCACATTATAACCTATTGTTAAAAAAAGAAAAAAGGCGTACTCCGGTCATTCCAGATAAAAACAGAAGGTGACAGAGGCGCGTGTCACCCGTCTAAGAACGATGATGTCATAACTGCCTGCTAGCCTTGCCACACAGGTTCAGCATATCATCACCTATCTGCCACCTATCACAGAGATATCACCCGGTGACAAGTAAAAATAACTAAACCGAGTGAACAGACCGCCTCTGGATTCTCTCGTGGGGAATGTGACACACATGCGGCTGTCACGGTTCTCCTATCTTCCTATATGAAGGCTGTAACCCAGTTGCTGAAAATAGAAAACAGGTTAGATAGGGCCTCTTTGGCACCCAGAAGGGCAGGATGCCGGGGAAGCTTGTGCTACATAGGCAGCAGCTTGCTCCTCCCGTTCTGCGTGGCTGATGTATGGACGTAAGAGGCATCATGAGGTCTGTTTTGCAAGGCTGCATTTTTAATTAATGTGTAACTATATAGGCAAAATAATAAAAGGACATATACAGAAACATATATAAAATTCACATTATCAATAGCATTAGCATAGCAGTATACGTTTTGGGAGCCCCCGCCTTCTATTACCTGTTGCTGGAGCCAGGAGATCCGTTATTTTTCTACTAACTGGCCAAACTGTCCAGCAAAGGAAACCGTTACGTTTACAGGAAGTCCCTGTCCCAGATTCTAGATGGCCAAAGGAGCTGTCAATCAACTAAAGCAGGGGAGGGCAAACCCCAGCCGTCCAGCTGTGCTTCAACTACCAATCCCATCAGGCATTAGTCTCCGGGAGTCATGCCTGTGGCTGAGAATCTTGCAATGCCTCATGGGATTTGTAGTTCAACAACAGCTGGAGGGCCGGAGTTGCCCAGTCCTGAATGGATGGACTTGTGCCTTTTTTCCCCCAACCTGACTAACTACGGTATGTAACTGGACCAGAAGCACATTACTGCAGTGAATTGGATATACACACAGGGAGAAAACTGCCATGGAGAATTAAGAACTGGTGGTCACCCCGTAAAGTGTTGCCCGGAGTTCTTCTTTAAAAAAGATGTACGGTGAGCGCTTATATGACCAGTCAGTCACATGATCGAACTGACATACAAGAAGCCCTTCTTACTTCCAGGACCTGGTCCCCACTCTGAAGAGTCACTGGGTCACATGACTGCACTGACCAATGACAGCTTGTCAGTTGTGAACATTATTGATTAGTCCAGAGTGCGGGGCTGTCAATAGTGTGCGGATTACTACACCGGCTGGAGGGGGCATCACAATGGGGGCCGGGGCAGGTGCAGTGATCCCAAATCTGGAGAATTTTTGTGGCTTTCACTTACCCTCATATGCGAGTTTATTACACGGAAGGGCCTTGTTTGATAAGTCTTATGCATACGGTCATTGTGGGAGTACATTGTCGCCCTGATGAAGGGATCCTGTGCGGTCCCGAAACGTCGCTATTTTGTACATGACAATCGAGGATTGGTTCCATTAAATGGCCATCACAGAGTGCTGGTGATTTCTGCTTTCCACTGTTTCTTGCACGGTGCCATCTGTGATTGTCACTGCGAGCACCACTACAAGTACTGTATCAAGTGCAGAGGGACCTACTACTTTCTACATTGTGGGAGTACACACACATTTCCATTGCATCAGTTTTCTAGCACTAAAACAAATTGTGTAAGTGTCTTTCTTAGTGGCACCGGCTGTGTCGCAATCTGGCAGAACACCCAAAAAAAAGAAAGTAAAAGGAGTCGGATTGCAAATGTTAGGAATGTCCAAGGCTACATTCGTACGCAACGGCCGGGGATTCCAGCGGGAAGAACCTACGGATTAGTGTGGCCAGGATCCCAGGTGTGTCCGCTTCTGTCAGTGCCTGCTCATAAGTAATAATACACGGAATGGTTATCTGCGGTTCGGGATAGATGATCGTCCCTGGATGCAATCTGTCTGTGTCCAGGGACAATCATCTATCCTGAACCGCAGGTAATCATTCCATGTCCAATTACATGTGGACAGCCGCTGACAGTTGCAGCTGCTGTCAGCCTGTCATTAAAAGGAGAACTATAGGGTCAGGGCTTTTCCCCATAGTTCTCCTTAGGATAACGGGAGGACACAAACTAGCGTCCTCCCGCCACCCTAGGCTCAGTATACCGCGAGCTAGAGCTCGCGGTATACTGAGACGCCGCAGCTGAAGCGGATCCCGACAATTATGTCGGGATCCGCCCAGCTGCGTGACTGACAGCTGGCTCTGCCTATCTAGGAGGCAGAGCCGGCTGTACCCGCCCCCTCCCCCGTCTGTTCCGCCAGTCAGCGATGGAGGATCGGAGCGGGGAGGAGGGGATCCAGCCCCTCCCCTGTCACGGCAGAGAGCCGTGACAGGATCGAGAGGTGAGCGAACGCCGGTATGTGTTCGCTCACTTCCCGATCTACTGAGCCGACCTGTGATAGTCTCATTGTCACAGGTCGGCTAGAACTATGAGGTGAGTGAAAAGCACTCACCTCATAGTTCTCCTTTAACTTAAACTTGGGTACAACTTAAACTTGGGTACTGTGTAGAAACATTTCAGATTCCTGCCCGCAAGAAACGACAGGTTCTTGCTGTAGGAATCCCCGGACGCAGCATGTGAACGGGGCCCATTGCATAAGACGGAATTCCTCAGTAAAACTCATGCGATATCCTGCGGGCGGGAGGTGCTGTACTATACAATGACAGCTGCAACCGCTCACAGGCGTTTGCAGGCTGTTTACAAGTGATCGCACAGTCTGCGATTACCTGTGAATGACCGCACCTGGACGCAGACTGTTTAAATCAAGGTGCGCTCGTCTGCAGGTAATCGCAGGCTTGCGGTTCCTTGCAAACAGCTGTGGGAGATGGCAGCTGTCATTAAAATATACAAAGCCCCCGTCCACAGGAAATCACATTAGTCTCACCAAGGAATTCATGAGACTCAAGACGGGCCCCATTCTCAGGTGTGAATGGGGCCTTAGAGGCTGCAGATAAATTCTGTCATTTGTGACCAGAGTTTAGTACGTCCTCAAGCCATATGGAGAAATTCCCCGAGTGTTTATGGCGCTTGAGGCAAAAGTTATTTGGCATCTTTCCTGGTTTGCATTCACTTGAACACTCACCAGAGCCTCATGACCACACTGATGCAGGTCATATAGAGTCTGAGTTTTCTCCTCGGCTTCTAAATTAAATAGGTTCTCCTGGAAGCCTAGTAGAAGAAACTATACAGACCTAAGCAGGAAGCACAGCCTTCTTATGTAATGACCAAACATAGATGTCGTAGAATTAGATAGTGACCATTAATGGAACTATACAGTGCTAAGCAGGAAGCACAGCCTCCCTATGTATTGATAAAACATAACTGCCATACAATTATGTATTGACCATTCACAGGTGTTAAAAACACTAAAATGCATTGACCATTTTTATGCCCATTACAAATGGAGTCCGACACGGAAGACATGAACGTGTCTTGTCAGCATACCTTAGCTTTTTGCACGGCCTCCCGCTTGCCCTTAAGCTGCACCCATATCCGCTCTGGCACCTTCCATTCCCCTTTGTGGTCATGGCAGAAGTTTTCCAGGGACCCCAATACCGTAAACAGCACTGGGAACAAGGTCTGAACCTCGGCTTGGCTCTCCTGCAACAGTTCTCGTAGGTTTCCAGGTGCAGTGAACTCATCCACCAGCTCCTCTCTGACGGAGCCATGGTCTTTGTTGTTTGTTCCTGGGACTTTGGCCATGCCTGTCCTTGCTCAGCCAGGAACCGTTTTCATCTTGGGTGCTGCAGACCTAAGAAAGTCAGAAAAACAAATATTGTTATTGGTTTAAAACCATTCCATCAAATGTGAAACATGTTTGCAGCAGCATGGATTTTTTTTTTATTATTGGTATTTGTATAGTGATGGCAATTTACGCAGCTCTTTACATAGAGCACATTCACATCAGTCCCCGCCCTGAAGGAGCTTACAATCTAAGGTCCCTTTCTCACATGCACATATATGAGGACCAATTTAAACAGGAGCCAATTAACCTCCCAGCATGTCTCTGGAGTGTGGGAGGAAACCAGAGTACCCGAAGTACCACGCAAGCACAGGGAGAACATGCAAACTCCTTGCAGATAGTGACCTGGCCAGGATTCGAACCAGGGACCCCCAATACTGCAAGGCAGAAGCGCTGTCTACTATGCTACTGTGCTGATTCAGACAATAAAGGAATAATGGAGGGTTACCCTGCATACTTGAGGCTGCTTTGGAACTAGTAGGCAGCTTGAAAGTCAGACAATGACATCTCTTAACACCTAGATAGCCCAACTCCACCCAAACTAGAGGTAGGCAAGCTCCGGTGTTCTATCGAAAACTCCAACTCGTCGAAATCTCTAACTACCTCACTGCCGGGTACTTGCAAGTTGGAGATTTCAACCAGACGGCGTTAGACTGCAAAACACAACTGACGGAGCTTCTGTACAGCTGCATTTTAACAATATTCAGCAGGTGGCAAACTCGACGAGTATTATGAAAACACTATGTGCGCATTAGCACCGCAACTGTACAGAGCTCCGGTCTTTCTGAGCCCCCCGGAAGTGAGGTAGTTGGAGATCTCGATGAGTTGGAGCTTGCGATAGAACAGCGGCCTCCCAGCTGAGGTGCAACTACAAATCCCATGAGGCATTGCAAAACCCTGACAGCCACAGGCATGCCATGATTGGTAGTTTCACCACCGCTGGAGGACTGGAGTTTGCCCGCCCCTGCTGTAAACCTTTATACAAACCGATTACAATACAAGTCAGGTTGTTTGATGGTGAAAGTTTATTGCACTGATCTCCTAGGAACAGGAACTGAAAATAAATCAACATTCTCTTAACTATTAACCATGATGCAAAAACATTCCCATGACATCATGCGAGGGTTTTCTGCAGGTGGCTGCGATAAACATTTGTGATTATTGGTACAGTAAAAAGAAGTAAAAGTTACATCCTCTTCCTCATAACAATACTATTAAAAGGTGCGCACAATGCACACTGGTCAGTGGCGTGCGCGCGTGTCGACCTGCTTTTAGATGGGTTGCTAAAATGCATTGCGCTGCCTGCAGCTTTTATTTCCTGTTTTTAAACTTCGACTTAAGAGTAGTATTAACCCCTTCAGGCCTTTTTTTCATTTTTTTTGCACCCATGTTATATTCCACATTTTAGGCCTGACAATTAATTAAAACCCCCCAACATTATATATTTTCTGAAAGCCAAGGCCCTATAGAATAAAATGTTGCCAGTTGCACATTTTTATGTTGCACGATATTAGCGCAACTCCTTATCAAACCCCAAACCTTAGTGTAAAATGTATTTAAATGCCCCAAAAACACAATAAAATACCCATTTTTAAAAATAAAATATAAAAGATGAGGTTACAACGAGTAAATAGATACCCAACATGCCCAGGTTAGAAATTGTGTGCGTCCGTGAAATGGCGACAAACTTCAGTACCCCTTAAAGTCCATAGACGACGCTTTAAAAGCCCCCACAGGTCATCAATTTAGAGATACCCAAAAATACAGGCCCTAAAATTATTGCTCCCACTCCGGCGTGCGCGGCGATACTCAACATGTGTAGCGCGTTCGTCGTTTTCATACGTGGTGCGCCTACGCGTGTTTAGAAACTGTTTTGTTTTTTTACTTTGATTGCTATCACATAAGGGGGCTTACAAGCCCCCCTATGTGATAGCATATGGTGGTGACAGGTACTCTTTAAGGTGACCCCCAGTGTCACCTTTTACACTCCAAATAAGCTATTGAAGTGCAGATCGCACTTCAATAGCTTATAGCTGGGCTTCCGGAGCACAGAACTGACAGCTCTGGGACTGGAAGTGATGCAATCTGCATCGCTCCCGGTCCCATAGAACAGGGAGGGGGTCGACGAACGGAGGTTTGTCCATCTCCTTCCCAGCTCCCTGCGGACACCACAGAAGCCGGTCCAGGGCCCGTAGGTGGGGCAACGGAGCCCAGGAAGCACGGTAGGGGTGTAAGGGGGGGTGGCCCCTTCACGGGACTCTAGAAGCGATCTGGAGACAGCTGAGTCGCCAGAATTGCTTCTATTGTAAAGCCGACAGTCGGCTTTACAAGTTTAAACAGCCCAGATGCTGGCGTCGTCAGTCACGAAGGGGTTAAACGCTCAAACCTTTTTTTTTTTAAATAATGAATTCAGATCAAACAAATACACATCACCCAGCAAAGTATTTCTGTACATTTTTGGCCAAGCACTTAGTCGTCATGTTTCAGAACAGCTCCAAATCTCTCAGCTCAGCTTCCCTGAACTTCCTGTCCAGTACAAGATCAGAAGGGACAGAGCAGTCTCCAGCACCCATCCATCTACTAGCCTGGAGAAGGGGAGCAGAGATGTGAGAGGAAGGAAGAGGCTTACTTTGCTGTGCCTGTGTATTTGTGGAGACACACACAGCTTACTAGCACACACAAGGGTGGCTCCATAGCACCCTTCAAGGGAAAGGAGATACCCCAAAACAGGATATCAGGGCCAGTGCTCAGGGGATTCTGCAGAAAACTAAAACTTTGAAACATCAAGGAGCAGCATCCATTGTAAGTGATTTCCTCAGCATTTTAAATAGTTTAAAAACCTTTTGACTTTATTATCACATAATTATTTCATTGTATGTGTTGCAATGCATCAGACCGCACTGGGCAAGAATACAAGGTCAGTTGTTTTTTTCACCCCCCCACTTCCTCATAGTGATACTTCAAGGGCTCCTGTTAAGGTGAATGCGGTAAGACACGCTAGCGTGCAAAGTGCACCGGGATGGGTGGCTCAAATGTGCTGTCTGCTGTTCTTATTTCCTTTTCAATCCTATGCATTGCAGCACCTTGCGTAGCCTTACGGCGCATCGAAAACATACTGTGCAAAAACTCAAGCAGGGGCGCAGAATTCCTATTGCCCGACGCCCGGGACATGCACGCACATTGTGCATTAAAGGGTAGGTTCACTTTCCCAGGTAATTTGGGAAAATGGAATTACCTGCTCATATCTGGCTCACTCTCCCCGGCTATAGTTACCTTTCAGCAAATGGTCCTTCCCCCTCCGCCGGTACAGGCGTACTATCTGTACCCCATACTGCCTTCTAGCACAGCCCTGCGCTACGGATTTCAGATTTCGCTCGCAAATTGTGAGCACTCGTTGGTCTGACCAATGAGAAGCGCTTCTAAGGCTGGGCACACACCTTACAACCATCGCAAGACTTTTGTCTTGCGATGGTTGTAAGGTACTTAAAAAAACGTACGATCTGCCCATCTTGCATAGGCAGATCGTACTTGCGATGATCGCAAGCCACGCCCCCTGAGGGGCGGGCTTCCGATGACCGCAATGCCGAACGGGCAGTGTGCGCTTGCGCACACCGGCCCGTACGGCTTTTATCGTACGAACATGCCACAAACCGCCGAACATCGTACGATGCTCGGCGGGTTTTCGAACATGTCCGTAAGTCAAAAGTCATGCGACCTTACAGTAGTAGAGGTCGCAGGGCTTCCACACACCTTACGATAATCGTACGATCGCGGGATTTCCCACGATTATCGTAAGGTGTGTGGGGACCTTAAGGCTGGCCATACAGCTGTCAATTTTCTCCGTTCAACCTGCGGGCTGAACGGCAAAAATTGACGCCATTCCTCAATCAACGCAAACAACACGTCGATGGAGGAATCGCCGATGTTTGCATTGTGTTCCGACAGGCGCCGCTGGCAGGAATACCTGATCAGGGAGGGCCGGAAGTAAAAAATAAAAAAATTAAAAAAGTTTAAAAGTTTATAAAAAATAAATAAAATATTTTAAAAAATTGAAAAAAAAATGTAAATAAAAACATTTTCGGTTTCGGCCTGACAATCTTTTTTATTTCGGTTTCGTTTTTTAAAGGAGAACTATGGGGTTGGGGCTTTTCCCCATAGTTCTCCTTAGGCCCCGTTCACACTGAGCGATTTATCGAGCGATTTTTGCAGCATCATATTCGCTCATATTTCCGCTCGATATCGCTCTATGTAGCTTCTCCAATACATTTCAATGGATCTGTTCACATCTCGTCGCTCAATATCGCTTGTAGCTCGTCGCTGGTAGCTTGTCGCTCCTACATGACCCTTTTTAGCGGGGGGAATCCAGCCCCTCCCCTGTCACGGCAGAGAGCCGTGACAGGATCGAGAAGTGAGCGAACGCTGATATGTGTTCGCTCACCTCCCGATCTACTGAGCCGACCTGTGACAGTCTCATTGTCACAGGTCGGCTAGAACTATGAGGTGAGTGAAAAGCACTCACCTCGTAGTTCTCCTTTAAATCTCTATTTCGGTGCACCTCTAATAGAAATAATAAATTGCACTTCAGCAAGAAAAAGTAAGTTATAGTCATCTGTGATGTAGCCCATGAATCCCAAATTGGAGAATTTTGGGGGCTTTCCCTGACCTTTATATGAGTGTATGGCACAGAAGGGCCTTCTTTAATAAGTCCCATCCATAATGTCATATTGGGAGTATACATACATTTTCATTGCATCAGTTCTTTTCAGCATTGAAGAGAAGTCATCGTATAAGTGGCACTGGCTGCGTCATGAGCTAGTACAACACCAACAAGACAAGGAGTTGGATTGCGAATGTCAGGAATGTCTAAGGCTACAGTCACACGTTGCGGCCGGGGTTGAACCTACAGAGTCGTGCAGCCAGAATTCCAGGTGTGTCAGCTGCTGTCAGTGGCTGTCTGCAAATCATCACACATGGAACGGTTGCAGCTCTTGCAATGCCTCATGGGACTTGTAGCTCCACGACAGCTGGAGTGCCGAGGTTGCCCATCTCTGACGTAATGCAAATTGCCTTGCCTATGCTTTGGCCAATGCAGCTCAAAGGGGCTGGTGCGACAGAGCCCCGACAGTAACGACATTTCCCTTTAAATTAAAGTGCCACACCTGCCAAAACTGTTTACATTTTCTTTTTTAAAGAAAGGGGAAGGATCAGAACACCTGTCGGGTTCTCGCTACTATCTTGGGCTCCGTTACAGACATTTCCCCTCACTTGTGGTCACAGCGGTAACAGTTTCACCAGACAGGAAGGGGAAAAACTAAATCTTCAACACGGAGACACACAGAAATGATAACAGGCGAGAGGTTCAAGACTTGCCTGACTTTAGAACTAGGGATGCACCGATACTAGTATTGTACTCGCCCAAATGCTCCAATGCTTCCGTTATCAGGAAGCCAGGCTGATTGGCCGGGAAGCCGGCTCCATGCTCTCTCGTCACTTGTAATCAGGAAGCCAGGCGCCGTGTAATGACGCGGCGCCCGGATTTCTGATTGGTCAGGAAGCCGAGCTCCATGCTCCCTCGTCACCTCATGACGAGGGAGCATGGAGTCGGCTTCCCGGCCAATCAGGTAGCCGGGCGCCACATCATTGCACAGCGCCTGGCTTTCTGATTGGCCAGAAAGCCAGCTCCATGCTTTCTCTTGACGAGGGAGCATGGGGACGCCTTCCCTGTTAAAGGAGAACTATGGGGTCAGTGTTTTTCCATATAGTTCTCCTTAATTATTATTTTTACCGTGACGCTGTTGGAGATTTTTCCCTCACTTCCTGTCTGGTGAAACGGTTGTCAGCTAGAGGAGAGGAACTCTCCTAAAGGGGGCCATACACTATACAGTCTGATTGTACAATCTCCTTTAGATCTGACATTAATGATGTAGTGCAAGGGCCTGCCTGCCGTGGGGCTACCTCTCTGCACTGCAAGGGTTAAGTGCTCCTTTTGGTCTAAGGAGGGAAATAAAGTTAAACTGACCCGATCTTCGGGGACGGCTTGCTCTTAGACCAGTCCCCCGGAGTCCCTCTCCTCCTCTGCTGCAGCGATCTAAGGTCCTGTAAGTCATCATGCCCAATACGCAGCGTACTTGATGTGATGGGATATACCATCGCTGCAGAGGAGGAGTAGACAGGCTCGAGGGATTGTGATCACAGCCGTCCGGCTCCGAAGATCGGGTGAGTATAACTGTTATTTTCCTCCCTAGATCAAACCCACTGCAAGGGTTAATGATAAAGTTCTGCTGTAAAACTCGCCCTTATATTCCACAGCTTTGGTTACCCTAGAGATGACTGAACAGAGATTGCCCAATGTGATTGTAGCCAAACTCCGGCCCTCCAGCTGTGGTGGAACTACAAATCCCATGAGGCATTGCACGATTCTCTCAGCCACGACTCCCGTAGAGAGATGCATCATGGGATTTGTAGTTTCACCACAGCTGGAGAGCTTGGCTACCCCTGCGTATGGCCAGTTGAACAGAGTAGCAGTAAGACCCCCCACACGGGCTCTAACCCGTCCCCACTTTCAATCAAAAACATTTTGGCTGGACACACGTTTGAAATGAATCAGAAGTACTCACCTGATTGCCGGGTCCCTTCACTCAGGGAGCGGAGATCCGGATCACATGAGACGAGTTTGTTATCCTGCGGGGCGACTGGGCGGAGCTAGCAGGAGACGTGTGTCAAAGCCTGTGACCGATAACCGAATGGGAACCGCTTCTGGAGGAATGCTGGAAATTCGGGTGAAATATCACCAATCATACGGGGAGGGACAGACAGCTCTGCGTGTGCTTCACACAGGCTTCCCGGCACTCAGCAATAAAGCAGAGGAAGTGACCGGGAAGGCTGCAGGATCAGATATACGTGTGCTGTGCCCACGGGTATACGAGTTCAACGACAGCAACACAATGGAAGGGAGTGTAGGGTGTCAATGCCCGACTGCAGTGTGATGTATATCAGAGGTGGTCCTGTATATGAGTGCAGTGACTAGTGTGTGTATATGGGGGGGTCCT